GTGAAAGAGATTCAGGAGTAGCTTCGTATGGCGCAGTCAAGACAAAAGAGCTATATTGATAGGAAGGTTCATGATGTGTCTTACATGGTTGGGGAGAAGGTTCTACTGAAGGTTTTACCCATGAAGGGTGTTACGAGATTTGGGAATAAGGGTAAATTGAGTCCTCGGTTCATTGGGCCTTTTGAGGTACTTCGGAGGATTGGAGAGGTGGCTTATGAGCTGGCCTTGCCACCTAGTCTGTTGAGTGTGCATCCAGTATTTTATGTTTCTATACTCCAGAATTATATTGGCGATCCGTCTCATGTTTTGGATTTCAGTACGGTTTAGTTATACGGTGATTTGACTTATGATGTGGCCAATGGCTATTTTGGAGCGGCAGGTCCGAAAGTTGAGATCAAAGGATATAACTTCAGTGAAAGTGCAGTGGAGAGGTCGGCCCGTGGAGGAGGCTACCTGGGAGACCGAGCGGGAGATGCAGAGCAGATATTCACACCTATTTGAGGCTTCAGGTATATTTCTTGACTCGTTTGAGGACGAATGTTTGTTTAAGAGGGAATAATGTAATGACCTGGCCGGTCGTTTCATGAGTTCCAACTCCATTTCCCCCATTTTTGCTTCTTTATGTGTCGTTAAGCTATATTTTATCATCTCGTGTTGGTTGTTCTGTGTTCGGAATGGTCATGGAGTGAAATGAGACACTTAGTCTCTTATTTGGAAGCTTAATTTGGAAAACGTCAATCGGATGTTGACTTATGTGTAGAAGTTCTCGGATGTGAATTCTAATGGTCTGTATAGCTTCGTTAGGTAATTTTGGACTTTGGAGCGTGTTCGGAATGTAAGTTGGAGGTCCGTGGTAGATTTAGGCTTGAATTGGCAAAATTGGAAATTTGGCATTTTCCGGTCGGCTGTGGAAATCTTGAAACCGGGGTCGGAATGGGATTCCAGAAATTGGAGTAGGTTAGTTGTGTCATTTTTGATGTGTGTGAAATTTTTTAGATTATTCGGATGAGGTTTGATAGGTTTTTTGCATCGTTTGCGGAATTCGGAAGTTTGGAGATCCTTAGGCTTGAATCCGAGGGTGATTGGTATTTTAGTATTATTTTGAGTATTCCGAAGGTTGGAACAAGTTTGAATGGTGTTATGTGACTTGTTCGTATTTTTGGTTGGAGTCCCGGGGGCCTCAGGATGATTTCGGATTGTTTTTGGAAAGTTTGAACTTGAGAAAATGCAGCTGGTGTTGCTGCTTCTATCATATCCGCACATGCGGATTGGGGACCGTAGGAGCGAAAAAGAGGCACAGGTGTGTGGAGGACCCCAGGTGCGGCTTGGTAAACCGCATCTGCGATGCTGCAGGAGCAGTAAGGCGACCGCATATGCGAGGGCTACGATGTTAAGTGAAATCCACAGAAGCGGAAGCGCAATTGCACTAATGGGATCGCAGGTGCGGAATCCCTGGGGCAGAAAGTATATAAGTTCCCCTTCGCGAAATTTGGCCCATTCCACCATTTTTGAAGTCGGGATTGAAGCTTTTGGAGGGTTTTGAAGAGGGAATCAAGGGGATATTTGTTTAGGTAAGATTTTTGAACTTAATACTCGTATCTATGGTGAATTTCAGATGAATAAGCATGAAATTTGTGGTATTTAGGAGTGAAAATTGGGGGAAATAGGGCTTGAAATTAGAGAGTTTAAATCGGGGATTTGAGAGGCCATTTGAGGTCCGATTTTGATGATTTTAGTATGTATAGACTCGGGAGTGAAAGAAGTTTCTAGTTTTGTAATTTTTATCGGATTTCGAGACGTGGGTCCGGGGGTCGGGTTTGACCAATTTCGGGATTTTTGAGTTTATTTGATAATTTTCGCATGGACTTTGTTCCTTTAGCGTGTATTGATAATAATATACTAATTTTGGTTAGATTCGGAGCATTTGGAGGCCGAATCGAGAGGCAAGGGCATCGCGGAGTAGATTTTCGCCCGGTTTGATGTAAGTAACGATTGTAAATCTAGACCGAGGGTATGAAACTCCGGAATTTTGTATTATTTTGATAAATGAGGTAGCACACATGCTAGGTTACGGGTGTGTGGGTGTGCACCTGCATGGATTGTGACTTGGTCTGTCCCGTGGCAACTGTAGAGTTGCATATTTTGATAAACTCTATATAATATCTATGTGTTTTAGAAATGAATCGGTTAACTTGGGTTGAATGCCATGATTGGGGCCTTGTACCGTACTGTTTGGACCGTCAGGGGTATTTTACTACTATCCTCACACTGTTTTGATTCAAAAGTATATCCTCAGTCATGATTTTTACCTGTATATTTTTCGATTCAGTTTCACTACTCTACTTTCAAATATATGAAAACTGTTTGGGGTGAGTTCCTTGATTTTTCGCTGGAATGCCCGAGTGGCTGTGAGGTTGATGACTGAGAGAGGCTAAGGACCTGATGGTGAGGATTATATATTATGGATCGGGCTGCACGCCGTAGCGATATATAATGTATGTATATGTATATGGATCGGGCTGCACGGCGAGACGATATATTGGATCGGGCTGCACGCCGCGGCGATATAGCGCTTAGGCTGTAGGAGCCTTTCGGAGTCTGCACTACCCCAATAAGCACAGTCGACTATATATTTATGGATCGGGCTACATGCCGCAACGGTTATTATGAGATATCTATTGAGCAGGAGTGCTGAGCATGAGTGCTGATTGATGAGCATTGAGTCACGAGTGACTGAGAGGCTTGCCCGTTGGGCTATATATATATGAGTGATACTTTGACCGAGGGGTTTGTGTTATGAAATTACTGTTTTCCCTCTTCTTTTATACTGAGCCTCTATTGAAAAATGTTGAGCAAATGTTTTAAATAACTTTCATTTAAAATTGGAGTTTTACGAGATGTTCAGAAATTGTATTACTGATTTGATTTTGTTATTTCCATTGAGATTCTATGTTAGAAGATGTATATGATTTTAAATGCTCGTCACTGCACTCAGCCTTTATTTATAATTGTTACTTACTAAGTTGGCGTACTCTCGTTACTCCAGGTGCCAGGGCATCCGAGTGAGAGCTGTTTCTACCTTCAGAGCACTTCCGGAGTTAGTAAGGTAGTTGCACAACGTCCGCAACCTTGTCTTTCTCCTTCCTACCTATTAGTATATGTTATTATCAGACTCATATTGTATTGAGCAGACAATATCAGATTGTATTTTAGTGGCTCATGACTAGTGACACTAGGATGGGGCAGTGGTTGATGTTTTACATATCTGTTTCTGCTTGTTTTGAAATGTTTAAACGAAAGATTTGTGGTAATATCTGCTTAGCAGATGAATTAAGAAAAAGACTTGTTTATGTTATAAATATCAATTCGGCTTGCCTAGTACTACAATAGGCACCATCATGATCGGGGTGGCTTAGGGTCGTGGCAGCGTGGATTCGGTTCTTGGACTTACCGCATGAATTGTGGTAATTGGGAAACATGCTTATTTGCTCTCTTAACTGTTCATTTATGTATATTCATTGTTGTTCTCTTGTATTTCTTCATGTTTATTATTTGCACAGCTTTATAAGTGAGTCTCTTGTCCTAGCCTCGTGACTATCTCGTCGAGATTAGGCTTGATACTTACTGAGTACACTGGATCGGTTGTACGCATACTACACTTTTTCACTTCTTGTGTATATTCAGAGATTGGTACTAGTGGAGTCCCGAAAGGTTCTTAACTATTGACATTGCAGACTTGAGGTAGTATTGTATACCCGTTCGCAAGCCCTTAAAGTCACCTTCCCACTTCCTTCATTACTGTTTATTAGACTCAAACAATATTGTGTTATTTCAGACTTTGTATTTGGCACCCTGTAGAGATCATGTACTTAGTAATATCAACATTGGGAAGTTGTTTAGATAGTTGCGATGGTTTTAGACTTATTATGTTAATTTTGGAGCTTTTACTCTCTAATTATGATGTAATGTTGTTAGATTTTTAATTTTACTTTTATTAATATTATTAAGTATTTGCTTGCCTAGCAAGTGGGGTTAGGTGCCATCAGGACCCGTTGGTCGAGATTTTTGGGTCAGGACAAAAATCACATACGATATATCATTTTGTTATCAACTCTTTCGAACTCAAAATTCAAAAAGTTACTTCAAAATTTCCACCAACTTGATTCCAAATTAGGTATAACCTCCTATTAATATTTTGGCACGCTCCGGTTAGAAGCGGATAAAATAGTATATACGTTTCAAACTTCAAAGTCCTTCAATGGTGATCTGATTTTTCTTACAACAAATCTTCGAAAATCAGCATTAACATCACAAAATATACATCAAAGAACAACACCCAACGAAATCCAATAGCAAAATACTTTAATTACAAATGAAAATTCAGATCTAGAATTTTAAACTCATACACCTATATATCACCTTCTAACGCTTCTTCCGAGTAAATATTACTGATTTTATACTATTCAAGAATGAAGCTTTTGTTCCTAATTTGGTACCACTTTAATCATTCCATCTATAAGTACAATATGTTTGTTGTTGGGTTGCACTCTTTTTGTTTGCAAAAAAAGTTTAGCTCATTCCAGAACCAGCAATTTTGGAAAAAGTAATGGGAATTAAAAGAAAATTACTTTGTTTTTGGTTGATTAACCAAAGATAGCTTGGAACTATGAACATGGGTTTGGCTGTTTGGCTTTAGGAGTCCTCCATGACTTAAGGGGCGGGGGTTTAGGTAAAGGGATAATAATTTATGGGGGAGTTATTTTGTGTAACTATTTTTAAAATGAATAAAGAAGGGTAATAAATATGGATCGATTGCATAGGCAAAAATTCGTTCAAGGTCCCAAGTTGACGTAGTCGTCACCACAAAAATATATTCATAAAAAAATTCAAAAGATCCATAATTAGGGGGAAAGCATGAAAACCATATTCGGGTACTTCGCTAGTTCGTTGCTAACTTCCTCAATGTCTTTTCAAGTATATAAAATAGTATTCCGATCCCATATGGCAAAATTTTGGAAGTGAAGACAGAAAATGGACGCATTCGAAGAGCTGAAAAGAGCAGTGGAGAGAGTAGAAATAGTGGACGCTCATGCCCACAACATTGTGGCGCTGGATTCCACTGTCCCTTTCCTCAGCTGTTTCTCTGGCGACATTTTGCCCGACTCACCTCACACCCTCGACTTCAAGGTACTCTACTTTATCCTATTCATTTCCTAACTACCTTCTACTCTTTTATTCCTTTAGGAGTCCTAAAGCTGCTCAAAGAGGAATATGAATAGATTCTAGTTTCATATGTTAATTTGATTTATATACTCCTCCATTATTTAAAATGTCTACTCAATTTAGAGACAATTCAATTAGGAAGTCTTGTTAGTCTTCGGAAGAAGCTAATAGATAATTAATATCCGAGGTTAATTAACATAAACTCGTTCATATTTGTAAAATCGTAAAATACATTGGATCGTTACTTGAGTGTAATTCACCGTGTTCCATGCTCGTAGCCATTGATCAATTTAGTTGCTTTCTAAGTTAGTTTTTTTTTTACATTTTTTGCATTTAGATATAACATTTTTTCAAAAACACCTCTTAGTGTTTGGCTTAGCATAATAAGCAACAATTCTCTTACTTGCCTAATCACCTACATATTGTTCTTTGTGGGATTCGACCCTGACTCATAGTTGAGTGTGTATATATATATATATATATATATATATATATATATTACGATTGAGAAGTTATTTTTATGGGAGAAAGAATTACATTAAAGTAACAAGATGAATGCTTCATGAATTTGAATTAGTGAAAATTAAGAATTTTTTGTATAAAAGTAGCATAGTTTCTAAACTTTGGGGACGTCCAAAATATAAAGAGTGTCGTTATAAATTGGGATGGATATATGTGAAAGTGCTTATTTGGGCACGCACGTATATTTAAGGAATTAAATAAAACTTCCATCCTTGCATCCTTTTAGGAGTGTGGTGCTCTGAATTGTTACTTCCCAATGTCAGGTTTTGTCATTTGCTATTCACTTATCTATGTAAGCTTTGCTATATCTTGTCATCGTGGATCTAGTTCTTAGACATTATTTTTGTTGGCTTCCTACATCGGTTGGGCATGAGATTATTGGACTCTTTATTGTATTACGTAATCCTCATCTCATGAGCTAGCTTTTAGGGTTGACGTATGTTCAAGGCCACACGCCGAGGCCCGATAACTAGAGCATGAACAACATAATATATGTGCCCAACATTGGGTAAACGAAGAAGAATTGGAATGGGCTTGGATCTGATACCGTGATAAAAAATTAATTCTTGGGTCTAACTCAACCCTAAAACTATCTCATGGGGTGAGGATTGCCCAAGATCATATAAAGAGTCCATTCTCAAACCAACAATTATCTTTTTTCATGCTTCTGACAGTATTTTCTGTTTCTTTCAGAGAAGCCTGGATGAAATCTGTGAACTATATGGCTCAAGCTTATCCTTGGATTCTGTTCAAGAATCTCGGGAACGCCTTGGGTTGGCGTCAAGTGCTGCTATTTGCTTCAAAGCTGCAAGAATTGCTGCCTTACTTCTTGACGATGGAATTAAGTTGGACAAAACGCTTGACATCAAATGGCACGAAAGTCTTGTACCAACAGTTGGTAGAATACTACAAGTTGAGCATGTAGCTGAAAAGATTCTTGACCGGGTATTTAAAGTACCGCAAATCAGCCCATGATATATATATAATGTGTCCATTCTTGACACTGACTAAGCTACCTATTACATATTGTAAACATACACTTAAATTGATTATCATCCCCCTCAAGTGATGCTCCATCTGAAAAAACACGGAGCTTCTCACATAAAAGCAATAATCTTAGAGAAGGCTGAGACTTTGTTGATATATTTGCTAGTTTTCTTGGCAAGGGCTATAGTGAACTTGAAAAGCTAGCTCCTAAAGCTAACATTTTCATATTTTAATAATGTGCTCAGTTTGAGCATGCTAAAACGATTTTGAGCAAGTAACATGATGCGAGCCTGACTCATTCTCCGCTGGTTGAAAAAGATTCATCCTCAACTCTAACAACTTTCATAAATGGCGCAAGATTGCTATAATAAAGAATGAGGACCCAATGCTCACCAGGTTTCAAGTTATATTTTGCTAGCTTATGATAGAGCTTCTTCACGTTGTAAGAAAACTTAGCATATGGTTGAACTAAATCCCGCTTTCGCTAAGTTTCAACTTTGTACCGAGCCTTCTTTGTATAATCTTTCTATGTTGACTCCTAAACTTCAACTTAAAATATGAAGTTATTGGCGTTAGAACTTTATAGAACTTAACCAATTCCATGTCTAGCTTTGAATTAAGTAAGGAGTTCAACACTCTTCTTGGGAATGTAATTGTAACGCTTGTACATTGACAATCACTCTGGTGATAGCCATATATATTTATAACATGAAGACGTCTTATTTTTCTAATATATCTCAAACTCTCCATTATCTACTCCTTTTTAGGTAATTCGTCCTCTTATTCATGCACAATTTTATGGACTTTAGAATTAACACAATATGCTGCCTTGTTTTGAATGATAGAGTCAACAATCAAGTCAATATTGTGTTGACCATCCCTGAAAGGCAAAAAGTCACTGACACATATGGTTGGATACTCCAATGGATTACCATAAACTTTGGTGGTAAACCCTCAACTTGCGGATCCAATGCAAGTTCTTTGTCTCTCTAATAATGTCTTCGTCAGTTTTGTCTTTTTCACTCCCTTGATTATTTAAATGCTAACATATTAGGCACAGTGTCTCGATATTCTAATGTCTTGGTCAACTTCAACCTCTTCAGCCTACTTAATATATCTTGCTTTATGCAGTTAAATTGGTAGATATTAAAATAGTAATGTAATGGTAGAACTGATATATTATGTAATGGTAGAGGAGGTGGTGTTGGAGGTTGTAGGCATTGTGATGAATTTGGTGGCTAATTTTGATGCACCACGTGATCAACTAATTCTGTTAGATTTCCTGTTGACTCCTTCAGGCTATCTAGCTCCACTTTAAATTTTTTATTACCTCGTTCAAGGATTATACTTCTTAATTTTTGAATTTTAAATATGAGATCGATTGAAGAGGATTCCAAATTTACTACTTGCTTCTCCAGCAACATGATGAACATCACGAAATCAATACTCGAAACCTGGAACATGTGTTCTTGTCACGACCCAAATCCCACCATAGGGATCGTGATGACACCTAATCTGTAAGACTATGTAAGCTAATCACTTAACACATTAAATTAACAAAACATTATATACTAAGACACAATTTAATATAAAAGCGGAAATAGAGTTAGCACATGCCAAAATGGAAATACCCAAAACATCTTCCAAGAACTAGGTAGTACAGAGTCATGAGCTCTAACCGAATACATATGAAATATATAAAATACAACACTATTCGAATATAAAATTAACAGTATCAACATAAAGGATGAGACTCCTATCACGCCCCAAACCTGGGCGTGGACGTAATACGGCACCCGGTCCTTAACTACATGTGACCGAGCGAATCAACTAGCTGGCTGATTCAACATGTGATGTCATAACATAATAAATGTGGAAGATAAACAAACACATGTGGATATACTGAAAGTATGAATGATATAAATCAAGTGTGGAAACACTAATATAAGTCTGAAACATATATGTAGTCAAGATTGCTTAACATGAAAAGACTGCGACTCTGTCTAACAGTTACTCTAGTCTATTAAGTCTCTAATAAAGTTCTGAAAATACTGACTCTCTGTAAATACTGGAAGACTGTAAAGTAATAATAATGTCCTGAAATAATTGGGGATCACCAAATAGCTGGTACGAGAATTCTAGCACTCTGAATCATCAACCTGTAAATCATTACTTGCATCATGAGATGCAGGCCCGGTCAAAAGGTACGTCAGTACATTTGAATTGTACTGGTATGTAAAGCAACTAAAAAAAAGAACTGTAAATACTGAAACTAAAACTAAACTGATAACCGATAATTGAGAAATGATAACTGATAATTGGTAACTGAACAGATAACAGATAATTTAACTGAATAAAGGAAGTAAGGATATGAATACTCTCTTTTTAGAATGATGAACCACCTGTTTATTTGAATAAATAAATTGCAGCCTCAGTCCAAATATATATGTGCACAAGTTGCGGCGTCAGGCCCAAAGATGCATAAAGCATAAATTGCTGCCTAAGGTCCAAATATGCATAAAGCATAAACTGTAGCCTTTGGCCCAATGATGCATAAAGCATAAACTGCGGTCTATGGCCCAATGATGCAAAAACATAAACTGTGGCCTCTGGCCAATGATGCATAAAGCATAAACTGCGGCCTCGGGCCGAAATACAGGTTTTCAACAATCAGAAATTCAAAATCAGGAACTAGGAATCGTATTGCGATACATGATGCTGAAATGATGAATCATACAGAGTTACATGATACAGGAATTCTGAATAGGACTAGACTATGACATGTATTCATAAACTAATTATAAGAACTGAAGTTCAACTGTTATGACATGCTAAGTAATATAGACTAAGACCCATGTTCATCAATAATGATGACGCACTGAGCTCACAACGTTCAGAATGAAAGTCATTAATGAATTACAAATCTAGATAATAGAAGTTCTGCAACTATCTAAGGAACTAAGCTTAATTATATTTCTAAGGTAATTAGTAACGTTCTAGAAGAAACATAGTGTAGGGAGAATCATTAACATTCTGAAACATAGAGAGTTAGCCTTACACACATTGGATTTTCCCCTTTTAAGCGTATTACAATGTCTGTCACCTCTTTCAATGGTAATCTATGGAACATATATCAAGAGGAATCATTATTAGCACTAATGCTCATGTTTTAGTCACTCAGGCATTTTATCAAACACTTGGTGAGCATAAAGCTTCATAATCCTTATTAATGGTGTTTCTCCACCCAACAACTCATTCCCTTGGATCCTAGATAATTCTAAAATCTTAATTGTTATAATCAATATCATTCTTCATTACCCATAAGGTAAACCACAAACAACAACCCAAACTTATAATTGTTCAAGGTAAACCACAATCAACAACCCCAACCTATAATCGTTCATTCTTTTCTATCAAACCCATCAACTCATATCTCATGAACTTAGAGTCTATAATCATAAATCTAATGCTATAATCAATTAGAGGATGAAGATATTACCTCTTTGACATTCAATCCTCTTGAATTTGAGTTCTAGGGCTTATTTTCTTAACAATGATGTCTCAATCGAATATCTAATGATTTGAAGGGTTTACCTATGTTAATAAGGTGTTGAAGAATTGAAATTAATTTAAAATCATCATTATAACTTACCTTGGATGATGGAGGGACCTTGGAGGAAGTTGGGTTTTTGAGAGCTTCCCATTCTAGAGCAAATTTTCATGTTTTCGAGTGTGGTGGACGAGGTAGGGCTTTCAAAATGACTTTCCCTGTGCTCCCCCACACATTTGAAGGCCCAACCACGTACTTGAACACACATCAAAGGCAGTGGCACTACCACAAGTGGGCTGCCGCGCACGGGACAACTGGGCGTGCACTTGAGCATGCAAACTGCACATTGTCTAGTAAAACACGCACAACTATTTTCACAGAGATCCGATCAGCTCCACAATATATCATTAGAAATATATTTTAAAAAAAATACAACTTTCATGTCTTCAATTTTCTCAAAATACTCAACAGAAATTTACTAAATCAGGATGGAAGATAGACCTTCCATAAACTTAGTCGACTTTATCGAATCTTATGCACCTCACTCTCTGTCTTGATTCTAAAACAACTATTTCCACTCATACTCATATCGATATGACTTCACATGTCTATAATATCACATTAATACTCATTTAACACGTCCATACCTAATCCAAATTTATGGAGTGTTACATTATCTCCCCCTTGGGATCATTCGTCCTCAAATGATTATCCTGGCTGTAACTACGGCTAACTCCGGACCTTAAACGGGTCTAATGAAAATATATGAACACTGAACTATCATGAACACATGCATGCTAAAATGAATGAATACATGATTACTGAACTGCTGAGATACCAAACTGAATGACTACCGCATTGACTGAATATTGAGCTGACTAAATACTAAAAGACATGGAGATTATAATATAAAGTCTAAATGAAAAGGCTAGTTACCTTCAACATTTCTTTGATACACCCGCCAACTATCATAACATAACACAAACCTCACAAGGCATCATAATGTGCACAACATGAAACATATAGGTGAATACTAGTCTGCCATGGATACGTAAATACTAAACTAATATGGATATATGAATACTAAACTGGCACGAATATTTGAGTACTAAAATGACATCAAAATCTAAGTACTAAGCTGGCATGAATATCTGAGTATTGTATCGACATGAGTATCTGAGTACGAACTGACATGAATATCTGAATATTGAAAACTTTAATTTATAACCCGACATATGAAATACTGGGTGTACAACTGCCAAAACTGGTGGCAACTCTAACTCACAAGCTACTTGCCCGATCCTTTGTAGGATCCTATACGGCCCAATGTATCTGGGACTGAGCTTTCCTTTCTTCTCAAATCTTATAACACATTTCAAAGGCAAAACTTTCAAATTCTCTTGAATCAACTTGACTTTGTCTGTAGCCTGATAGACCAAATTTGGTCCCAACAACTCTGCTTCACCTACTTCGAACAAACCAATTGGTGATCTACATCTTCTCCCATACAGAGCTTTGTAACTGTCTTGATACTATAATGGTAGTTGTTATTATAAGCAAACTCAATGAGAGGTATGTGTTCATCCTAATTACCTTTAAAATCAAAGA